TTGTGAATTTTTCCTATCAAATATCCCTGCTGTTATGAGGATCAATTGAAAAAACAAATGTGAAAGAGCAAAGCCTACTCAAAGATGAGTTTTAATTATTAAAAGGCATTCAGCAAGTGATACCTGTGAAAATAGTTCAGGAGAAAAAAAAAAAAACCCTAAAAAATGGTCTCCTCCATGAAAACATGGAAAAAACTGGCAAAAACAGAAACGATACTTTCAGAACACTAGAAATTAAGCAAAGGCTTACAGCAATCAGGGGAATATTTATTCAAGAAAAATGGCAGTATCTTAGTATGTATGAACAGTGAACTTTGTGGTATTTTAGCTGCCCTATTCCCAACCAACCCCTCCTTCTTGATGGTAGCTTTGGAAACCAACAGCCTGCAGTCATGGTGAAAATTAACAACCTGGCAGCCATAGGAGGAGGCAGAACGAGGTTGGAGTTCAATCAAAGTTTCATTTCCAGAGAACTGTCATTATTCGACTTGCTTGGGAGTTCTTTGGAACACCCTACTTACAAGGCTGTCTTCCTTAGACCAATTCAGAGCTTGCACAGTGTGAAAAACCTTTTCCCCGGGGATATTTGTAGAAAATTACTAGAGGCAATTGTTTAACTTGTTGGCTGCCCAAGGCACTGGATAACAGCTGGGACAAAAATAGGCTAATCAAAAGTTTAAAAGGTAAAACTTGGGAATGAGATGTCCATAGTGGCTTTCAAAAGCTCCCAATATTCCTTAGAATCTGGAAGACCATGTTACATGCCCAAGTCTGTATGTATGTTCATGAAAAATCTGAGAAGGTCTTATGCTCTCATCTCTGGTTGATCTTGGGGCTCTGTACAAATAGGAAGTGAAAGCTAAGGTGGAACTGTCACCTGTTTGTCTATGTGTTGAAGGTGTACCCCATTATCCACACAGAGCTCCTGGCAAGGACTGGAAAATCACTAAACAAACAATAACAAAACAACAAATGATACCAACAAAAAACCCTGGAGATAGAGATGACTTTGGTTTCTAAAATTGCCATATTATATTATTTTAAACGTCCAGTTTTCAGCAGAAAAATTTTAAGCCATGTAAAGGAGCAAGAAATCATGGCCCATATGTAGAAAAAAGAAAAAAAGCAAGCAAGAGAAACTGTCCCTGAGGAAGCCAAGATATTAGACTTCCTAGACCAAGACTTTAAATCAACTATTTATAAAATGTTCAAAGAATTAAAGGAAACCAAAAAAAAAAAAAAAAAAAAAAAGAACTAAAGGAAAGTATGAGAACAAACACTCATCAAATTGAGAAAATAAATAGAGAGAAATTATATTTAAAAGGGGCCAGTAGAAATTCTGGGTTGAAAAGTATAATAACCAAAAAGAAAAATTCAATAGAGTGGCTCAATAGCAAATTTGAGCAGACAGAAGAGTGAGAGAACTTAGATATAGATCAATTGAAACTATCCAGTTTGAGGAAGAAAAAGAAAAAGAATGAAAAAGAATTTATTTATTTTATTATTTTATTTTATTTTTGTAATAGTTATTTTTTTAATTAAAAAATTTTAATGTTTATTATTTTTGAGAGAGAGAGAGAGACAGAGCATGAGTGGGGGAGGGGCACAGAGAGAGGGAGAAACAGAATCTGAAGTAGGCTTCAGGCTCTGAGCTGTCAGCACAGAGCCCAGGGTGGGGCTCAAACTCATGAACCGCGAGATCATGACCTGAGCTGAAATCTGACACTGAACCATCTGAGCCACCCAGGCACCCCAAGAATGAAAAAGAATTTATAGAGCCACTAAGAATCTGTAGGACACCATCAAGCACACCCATATAGACAGAATGGAAGTCCCAGAAGAAGACAAAAACAAAGAGGCTGAAAGAATACTTAAAGAAATAATGGCTGAAGACTTCCCAAATTTGATGAAAAAAATGAATCTACACATCCAATTATCTACAAACTCCAAGAAATATAAATTCAAAGAGATACACATAGATATATCAAACTATCAAAAGAGAAAGAATCTGAAAGTAGTAAGAGAAAAGCAGCTTGTCATATGCAAGACATTTTCAAATAAGATTAATAGTTGATTTCTTATCAGAAACTATGGAGGCCACAAAACAATGGCATGACATATTCAAAGTGCTTAAAGAAAAAGACTGTCAACCAAAAATTCTGCATCGATGGTCAATTGATTTTCAACAAGGGTGTTGTCTTAGTTTAAGCTGCTATAACAAAGTACCATAGACTGGGTGGCTTATAAACAACAGAAATTTATTTCTTACAGTTCTAGAGGTTTGGAAATCTTAGATCACATGGTTGTGTTCTGGTGAGGGTTCTCTTCTGGGTTGCAGGTTGCTGACTTCTTATTATATCCTCACATAGCAGAGAGCAGAGATAGGAAGAAAATTCTCTCATGGCATTTATGATGGTATTAATCCTATTCATGTCAGCTCCACTCTTATAACCTCACCTACTCCTAATTACCTCCCAAAGTCTTCACTTCCTAATACCATTGGGTGTTACCATTGGGTAAAGTTCCAACATATGAATTTGGGGGGAATACAAACATTGTTAAGGCACTTGAATCCATAAAAAGTGCCCAGACCATTCAGTGAAGAACAGAACAGTCTTTTTAACCAACGGTTCAGGGACATGTGGAAGAATAAGCTTAGATCCCTAATTCAAAGATTAACTCAAAATGGATCAAGGAGTTAAAAACAAATTTTTAGAAGAAAGCACAGGTATAAATCTTGGATTAGGCAATGATTTCTTTTTTTCTTTTAATGTTTATTTATTTATTTTGAGAGATAGAGGGCTGGATAGAGAGAGAGGGAGAGACAGAATCCCAAGCAGGCTCTGCACTGACAATGCAGGGCTCGATCACACAAACCATGAGATCATGACCAGAGCTGAAATCAGGAGTTGGATGCTTAACCAACTAAGCTATTCAGGCGCCGTTAGGCAATGATTTTTTAGATATGACGCCAAAACACAAACAACCAAAGAAAAAAATAGATAAATTAGACTTCAACAAAGAAGTGATCAAGAAAGCAAAAAGACAAGCCACAGAATGCAAAAAAATATTTGTAAATCATATATCTGATAAAAGTCTAGTACCCAGAATATAGAAATAAGGTTTTACAACCACTATAAAAAGATAATCTAATTTTAAAATGGACATAAGCGTTGTATAGACATTTCTTCACAGAAAATATACAAATGGCCAGTAAGTTGGGGTGCCTGGGTGGCTTAGTTGGTTGGCTCAGGTCATGATTTCATGGTTTGTGGGTTTGAGCCCCGCATCGGGCTCTGTGCTGACAGCTCAGAGCCTGGAGCCTGCTTCGGATTCTGTGTCTGTCTCTCTCTCTGCCCCTCCCCCGCTCATGCTCTGTCTCTCTCTGTCTCAAAAATAAACAAACATTAAAAAAAAATTTAACATTTATTTTTTTTTTAATTTTTTTAATGTTTTATTTATTCTTGAGAGAGAGAGAGAGAGAGAGAGAGACAGAGCATGAGCAGGGGAGAAGCAGAGCGAGAGAGGGACACAGAATCTGAAGCAGGCTCCAGGCTCTGAGCAGTCAGCACAGAGCCCGATGCAGGCCTCGAACTCACAGACCATGAGATCATGACCTGAGCTGAAGTCGGATGCTCAACCAACTGAGCCACCCAGGCACCCCAACATTTATTTATTTTTGAGAGAGACAGAGCATGAGCATGGAAGGGGCTATCAGCACAGAGCCCGACGCAGGGCTCGAACTCACAGACCGTGAGATCATGACCTGAGCCGAAGTCGGACGCCTAACCGACTGAGCCACCCAGGTGCCCCTAAAAAAATTTTTTTTAAATAGTCAATAGGCACATGAAAAGATGCTCAATATTACTAGCATTAGGGAAGTGCAAATCAAAACCACAATGAGCTACCATTCCATATTTATTGAGATGGCTATAATAATAATAGTAATAATAAAAAGACAATAACAAATGTTGGTGAGGGAAGGGAGAAGATGGAACACTCACACCTTGCTGGTGCAAACAAGAAATGGTAGTAGTGCTTTGGAAAACAATTTGGAAATTCCTCAGAAAGTTAGCATAGAGTTAGTGTTACCATATGGCCCAGAAATTATTTATATATATTATACATGTATACGTGTATAATATATATATGTATTTTTTCCCAGAGGTTCCCACAAAAACTTATACACAAGTTTCCATAGCAGCATTATTCGTACTATCCAAAAAGTGGAAACAACCAAAATATCCATCAGCTTATGAATGGATAAACAGATATGTTATATCCATACAATGTACTATATCTCAGCTATGGAAAGGAATAAAGCACTGAGACATGCTACAATATGGATGAACACTGGAAAAATTTTGCTGGGTGAAAGAAACTAAACAGAACATGCCACATGTTATATGATTCTGTTTCTGTAAAATGTCCAGTAAAAGAAAATCCACAGAGATAGAAAGCAGATTCACAGTTGCCAGGGTCAGAGGGGAGGAGGAAGATGGGGAATGACTGCCAATGGGCACAGGGTTTTATTGTCGGGGAGGGTGATGAAAATGTTCTGGTGATGGTTGCACAACCTTGTGAAGAGATCAAAACCCATTGAACTATACACTTTAATAAGAGTGCATTTTATGGTATGCTAATTATATCTCAGCTTTAAAAAAAAAAAAAAGCAGTACAGCTTCTGAAAGTAGTACTGGCCATTTAAATCCCCATAACATAATCTTGGATGGGTTTGGGATTTCGGGTTGAGAAAGTTGACCTCGACAATTTGGTATGTAGGGGGAACACAGTTGAAAGGGACACATCCACACACAACCACACACACAAACCCCACACAACTTAAAGCAAGCATAGGTGCTTCCAGGTGCCATGAAAATGTGGCCACAGTTATTTTCCTGGCAAACCATTTTCTTTAACAATATCCCCAGTGTGCACACCCACCACAAAATTAGAATCAGTATAACTCTGCAAACTAAAGTCAGCAGGGGTAACCTTACCTTTAATATTGTTTTGCTGTTCCATTAGTAATTTACTTATTTCTGAAAACCAACAATCTCTGATTTCCTTTGAAGTTGCCTGCAATTGCAGATAAGAAGACACTCTGAGTATCAGATCACATGGAACATTAATTGGACAGGGTTTTTATTTTCTGGATGACCTTTAGAATAATGAGATAGAAAACACTTGCCAAGTCAGGGAACACAATAAGGAAAGAGTAGCAGACACCTGTGATGAAGGCATGAGCTTTACCTGCAGGATGTATTTCTCAAGTCCATTTCGGTTGGCAACTTCAAACTTTCTGTTGCTCCCCCTTCCAAGCTGGCGAACTGAAAGTGTCTTCAGCTATTGTAAAGAAAGAAGAAAAACTGCTGTACCACTGTTGTCTGATTTTTAAACGGTCCCCGTCAGCCACTCCAGTTCTTTCTACCCTTGGTAGTTCTCTTCTTCTATCTTCCTTTCACATGTTGTTGTTGTCTGTTAATGGCCCCAAGGAGCATAAAGCACACAGTGTCATCTCTCTTCTCTGTTTCAGGGGACAACACAGACTGTATCTTTTCATGGACTCCTCAACCTTTAAGCAAAGAGATCATCTCTCCTTTAATACCTAAGTATTTCACAAATCTGTATATAATAGTAACTGAATTAGTCTCCACTAAGAAACATAAATAACAAAAGCTACTATGAACAACTAGCAACTTTAATCACAAAAGCACAAATGTGTGTGTGTTGCACACATGCATGTGTGTGGGGGGGGGGGAGGGGGGTCTCCTCACCAGCTATGAAATATTTCCTACACAGGCGAGAGATGATGCTTGGTGTAGACGTGGGTTCCTACACCTCCAGAGCCAGGATACTGTCAACGCTTGTATGCAAAGATGTGTGGTTGAGAAGGGTAAGTCAAAGATGAAATCCAGCCCATGTTCTAATCACCAAGTCTTTCACCCCTCTGCCTGGAAGGTACTTTCCCAATTAATTTGTCCAGACAGGCTGCCATATGGTCCCTTTTCTCTACCTAGCACTCTTTTCTCAATGCCAGCCCTGACCCTGTTCAGTGACTGATTACCAGCTTGACTTTGGAGTTAGAAAGGTCTGGATGTGGAGTCTAGTTCTGTTGTGTGGCATTTGGCAAGTTAACCTCTCCTCTCTAGGCTTTAGTTTCCTGATCTGTAAAACAAGGATATTGATATTTCTCTCCATAGGGCCGTGCTGATTCCCAAATGCAATAGGACCCCTTTACCTTCATGGATTTCTTAAAGCTGTAATGAGGAGATAGGCCCTGGTCACTGGGCTCCATTCGTATCTTACAGAACACGATTCCTCTTTCAAAAAGATAGATTTGCCTCTGGCTGGGCTTAAATCGAATAAAATCCTTCATTTTATAACGATCCTTGTGAACTGTCCAGACACTGAAAGAACCATGCATCAACAGCTTGCCCAGTTTCCTGATGTCATCCTTTGGGAAACACAGACATACATAAAAATAAGCTGTTACATTTCTTGACAGGGAAAGAGCCCATAAGGGTCTATTTCCAAATTATAAAGCATGCTTATTTGAAGTTGACAATTTTGAAAGTGCCAGTCAGGCTCATCTGTCACTAAATCAAAACTACAATTTTGTGAGCTTCACTGAGCATGGCACCTTTCAGTTATGTAGGGAAATAGTTCAGCTGTGCAAGGTAAGAAACATAAAGCATGTTAGAAATACCTGAAGTAAAGATACTGGTACTCTGCTATTTTTGTCTTTAGAGTTAATTTCAGCTAGCAGAATTCTGTTTCCTCTTCTTTGTTTTTGATACATGACAGTCTACTTTAAAAGGGCAAGAGATTCACATTTAGGTATGTTCAGGAGTGACAGAATTTTTGCTGCATTATGGACCTATTCCATCATAATCCATGCATTTCATCTGTATCCTAACATCTGCCTCGGGTATGAGACGCTGGGAACATGAGATTTGTTCTGAAGGAAAAAAGCTTAGTATCCCCTAATCTTCATAACAGTGTAATGGAAATAGTAATTACATTCAACTTTGTGTTTTTCAGAGTGAGTGGATGAGGCAAAGATAACCCCAAATGACAAAATGTTTTAGAAAGTCCATTTGGCTTCAGGGACCATTTTACGATGCTTATCCCTCCACTAGCAAACCCACCTTTCTCCTGTGTCTGGTTAAAAGTCCAAATTAGTGACTCTGCCATCTCTGAGCTGTCTCCAAAGGGTAGCGGAATGAGATGAGCTAAGAATATTGTATTTTATCTTGTATTTTTAAAAAAACTAGACCACTTGAGGTAGATAATAAAGAATTTATTTCCCTAAAGGAAAACGCCAAAAGGAGGAAATTATTTGAAAAGGACCAGGAAAGAGAATTTTCCCTGATTTATGTCTAGCTGACATAAATCCTTACAATTCCTGAGAGTTAATACTAGAAATATGTGCATAATTTATAACTGGGCATTTTTATAATTTATTGTTTATATTGAGCAAACTGTGAATATTAAAATGATTTGCTGCACTTCTGAAATTCTAAAATAAAAACTTCAAGAACATAGACTCGGGGCACCTGGGTGGCTCAGTTGGTTAAGCATCCGACTTCGCTCAGGTCATGATCTCACGGTCCGTGGGTTCGAGCCCTGCGTCGGGCTCTGGGCCGACAGCTCGGAGCCTGGAGCCTGTTTCGGATTCTGTGTCTCCCTCTTTCTCTGACCCTCCCCTATTCATGCTCTCTCTCTCTCTCTCTGTCTCAAAAATAAATAAATGTTAAAAAAAATTAAAAAAAATAAATAAAAAAGAACATAGACTCTAGTCATTTCTATGGTGCTTACGGTGCTATTTTTCTCTTTTTGCTTTGTACAGTTTACACGTGTAAACTGTGGTGAGTGAAGGAATAAAGAGCCCCAAGCCATAAGGACTGTGCCCCTGAAAGCATGACTCTAGCTTTGACTGCACAGGCTCAGCTTGACCAGGCTCCAAAACAGATGGATAATGGGTTCATGAGGACCCCTGAGAAATTCTTCACTTTTTCCACATCCTTTCCACATCCTTCCAGGAGCCACTGTGGCAATCGCAGTGATTGCATTCTCCTTTAAACCCATTCAGTTTCTACTATATACACATAAATAATGCAGGAAATACGTTTTCATCAAGGCCATTGGCAAAAGTAGGTGCTTAATATTTGCCACATGAACAGCTATAATCAGTAGTTTCTATTTTATTTTTTTTAAGCTTACTTATTTTACTTTGGTGGGGGGCATAAGCAGGGGAGGGGCAGAGACAGAGGGAGACAGAGAATCCCATGTCAGTCCCCGCTGTTAGCACAGAGCCCAATGCAAGGCTCTAATCCGTGAACTGTGAGATCATGACCTGAGCCGAAATCAAGAGTCAGATGCTTAACCAACTGAGCCATCCAGGCACCCTGGTAGTTTCTATTTTAAAATGTATTTATATTCCACCTCATTAAAAAAATTGATATATCTTATAAAAATATATACAATAGAAGCAGACAGAAAATAACCAAGGAAATTAGGGTGAAAAAAAGATTAAAATAAAGATGAAGAAGTTGTACATAAAACCCATATAATAAAGCCATGTAAACCTGTTGCAGACAAGATTCTGACCTTCTAGTGGGCAGTACAGAGGGAAACACTGTATGATACATTATGCCCCAAAACATACCCAAACCAGTTGTTCAGGAAACACACAGCAATTCCTATTAATGAGATATGAGAGAAATTTCTTCCATGGGTCCTGGTCCTCAATAAAGAATCACTGAGTCAAATACTGAACATGTCCTCAACCACACCCCAGAATAGACAAGTGGATTTTAGGTAAAGCTGTTTTCTGACAACACATTTGGTGAACGTGCAGGCATCACTTCGAAGCACAGCTGGTAAAAGCAATTCTAAAAGAAACCCGAATGATGGGGGAGTGGGGAACAAGTCCAGGTGTGTACTCTCTAATGACCTGTGGAGAGCTGGGTGAGGTTAGTTAAAGTGACTGCCAAGGCCATGAGGATACTGCCTTGTCTATAGCTTTGCTGAAGAGGCAACTTTAGGTGGCGATGTTGTCTTTATCACCTCTGCTCTTTCCACCTCATCCCTCCAGCAGCCACAGCTGTTTGCACCTTAGTAGGCAATTGACCAATGGATATAAATTCAGAGAGGGGCCAGCCAACTTGACTGCTGTCTGAACTAAGGCAGGAATCCACAGGAATTGTAGCTGTGAGATGCGTTGTAAGAGAGCAAGAGGTGTAAAATACAATTAGGTAGCAGAGCAATAAGGTGAGTCACCAGAAACTATGAGGAAGAGGACAAGACATGGACAGAGGGAACGAACCAGTCAGTGGGTGGTGAGAGAACACATCAGGTGTGTGGATGTATCTGGCACATACAGGCAGGGCACACAGGTGAAAACCTCCACTTCTCCCAAGCCAAGGCCCTAGAGCTGCTATGAGTCCTGGAATTGTCCCATTCCCACCTCTGTGAGCCCGGCTCTTTGTTATGACTCTTCCCAAGGCTCTATGGTCACCTGTTCCAGTAAGCCCATCATCACTGGAGGTCAATGGAGGGAACTGCTGGGTCTTTTGAGTCCAGCTGAAACAGATGGGCTGCATGTCATCCAGGTATTTGCATACACTTTCTAGGGACCACACTTGTGATGGGATTGGACATCTCAATGCTCAAGGCCCATCTTGCAGGAGTCAAGGGTGTGTGCCCTATGCAGAGCTGATGAAGAGCAGGTGCACACGTATTACCACCAGTGAGGATGTATGCTGGCATGGAGGCAACCCCACCTCCCAAGGGCAAGGGCAGGGGGATCCCTCTGAGCAAGATCAAAGATGACCCTTGGTCATCTTTTCAACTATATGTATCCTTTCTTTCCAATTAGATTGAAGTTGGTTCCAGGGCCGGAGACCACATGCATAACTCCTGCAGATATATGTCCCTTTGACATATAATATTTATTCGTTTACTGGCACGAGTACCTGGGGGGACACGAAACTAAATGCTCCACACTGTGAGGAAGCTAATTTGGTGATGCCCCAGTACTAGATTGAACAATGTCTCCAAAAAAACTCATGTCCACCTGGGGCCTCAGAATGTGACATTATTTGGAAATAAGGTCTTTGCAGTTGTACTTAGCTAAAAGGAAATCCTCCTAGAATAGGGTGGGCCCTAATGCAATGACTAGTGTCCTCATGAGAAGAGAAAACAGAGACGCAGACACAGGCACACACATAGAGGTGACTCCATGAAGACAGGCAGAAACTGGAGTGATGCAGCTATAAGCCAAGGAATGCCGAGAATTGCTGGCAACTACTAGAAGCCAGGGGTGAAAGCAAGGAAGGAGGATTCTTTCCCAGAGTCTTCAGAGGGAGCAAAGGCCTGATATCACCCTGATTTTTTACTTTTAGCCTCCAGAACTGTGGAGCTTTTTTATTGCAGCTCTAGGAAATGAATATATCTGCAAACCAGGTTTTCTAGTAATGATGTAATATTCTGGCCATCATTTTGGTGTTTTGAATCTTTTTAAGTTAGATGGAGATAGAAAGAGAGACAAAGCATGAGTGGGGGCGGGGCAGAGAGAGAGACACACACACAGAATCCGAAGCAGGCTCCAGGCTCTGCACTGTCAGCACAGAGCCCGAGGCAGGACTCGAACTCACGAGCAGTGAGATCATGACCCGAGCCAAAGTTGGACGCTTAACCAACTGAGCCACCCAGGCACCCCTGGTGTGTTGCATCTAATGGATATCAACTCAGAGATACAACACAGGGGCTATCCCAAAACAAATAATGACGTGAAAAGTCAGATGGCCTCCCTCATGTGGGAAATGATGGCAATATAAACTAGTAACTATTACCATTTTTCATGTGTGGAATTTTGTAGGTAAGAACTCTGATAGAAGAATTTCAAACGTGACTATATCAGCGAAATGAAGAATCTGGCTGGGAGAGTGTGTAGTGAATATGGCCTCAAGAAAGAGACCACTTTCGGATGCCCAGGTTTCCATTCCTGGCAGTGACAGCAATGTGACAAGGATATATACTTCTTGCACAAAGACATAGGAAACATCTGGATAAATGTATCAGCACAAAGTCAGTCCAGAAACAAAAAGAAGAAGCCATAGGACAGAAAAGCCCCTTAATACAATCACCAGAAGCAAAGGGGTTCCTTCCTTTCCGGTCTGATCAAGTACCCAAGGAAGTCAGCTGTAGGGCCCTTTCTTCAGCATCTACCAGCTGCCAGGCACAGTGCTAGCTGCTTTTATTATGATTTAATCCTCGTTAACTCCTTACAACCAACCGCCCTTTGACACAGGTGTCTTGAGCGTGGGAAGAAGCACAATGCAATTTCACTGAGTTGTTAAGATTATTTACTCAGTCTTATCTCTGGAGCCAACACTAAGGTAAGTAAAGTAGGAACTGAAATAAAATACCTGGCCTTAGCCCACAAAACTTGCAATAAAAATATATCCTGTATTGAATGGCATAATTTGTTCCAGAAAATAACCTTTACTACTCAACTTTGGAACTGGTTCCTGGCAAGTCAGGATTTAAAAGGACTCTATACAAATCTCTATTTTATGTGTTGGATTGAATAGAGGGGACTCTTTTTTTTTTTTGCAAATGGAAGGAATAAATGACATCTCGGTGTTCCACAAAATAAACTTTCTTAAAACAATTTTTTTTTTTAGTTTCTGTGATTAAATTAAACCAAGAACTAACTGAGTGTACAACAGGAATAACATTGTAAATATCAGGAGGGAATATTTTCAGTTGTTTTAATTATGCATTCACCCACTGAAGTTCAGTGTCCTTCCTTTTCAGAACCACGTTAATATTGGATACTAAGTAGTGAAACTAACAGGTTAAGTTCTGGGTTTGTCCACACACTCAGCACATGATTGTAAACACCCTGTGCTAAGGTTCTACAAAGCAGAGTCAGAGTCCTAAGATCTGAGTTAGGAGTAGCTGAGTTGCTAAGAAACGCTAAACAAAATCAGATGAACAAAGTGTTGAGAGAATGGCACCCTGGACAGGGAAGGAAGATGTCCAAGAAGTAGTCCAGGCTGATGCACAACGTAATCTTGGGTGAGCTAACTCTTCTTTCCGTGGATCTATTCCTGAATCAGAAACTGAAAATTTCACCGCCTGCTCTTCTATAATTCAATAGGATTAGATAAAACTGTCAGGGTAAAGTAGCTAATGTACTAGACGTAAAGCAAGTTAAAATCTTAGTGAAAAAAACCAAGAGTTTATGTCAAAGGCACAATTCCGAGGACATATGGGAGAAAGAAGTTCTTTGCATTTGATGCAAAACTGTCTAAAACTCTATAAGCTGCTTCATCTCATTTGCATGCAAGTTGCCTTTAAGTGAAATTAGAATTCTACTTACTCACATTTTGGTAATTATTTTCTCATAACTTCCTCCTCCTATGTTACCCACACTTAGAATAAAACTGGGAGTTTCCTGCCCTGTGTATGATTTCCAAGCCATTCATTTGATTCAGGGAGATGGATACTAACAGGATTAGCTGACACGTGTTCAAAGATAAAAAGAACAGGAAGACGTCCCAAAATGATTAAACAAATTGCTTCCTTGAGTTCCCTTAAATGAAGAAGGAAAAAAATTTTACCAAGAAAATCATCCCCTCCCTCACATACGCTGTGCTCCATGAATACCCTTCTGAATCATGCATCAGAAGTAAGCAGAGAGCACTCTTGAGTCCCAGGGGACAGTAACAGCATTCACTGCCTGATCACTGTGGACCCAGTGGGGCTGCTTCTGAGATGCTGGTCAGAGAAATACCAGGAGGGAGGGAAATAAAAAGACCACGTTGGCCCCTAATTAATTTGCAAGGTTTGACTTATGATCAGGAAAGAAAGGAAAGGTCATTTCATTTGCCTAGACTTCAATAAACAGTATGTTAAAATGGGATAAAAATAAGAAGGAAAAGTATCTGTCTGAAATGTAATTCTCAGAATGCTTGATCCTTGTGTGGTAGACAGAATAACAGCCTCCCAAAGAGGGCCACGTCCTAATCCCTGGAATCTGAGACTATGTCAAGTTACATGACAAATGGGAATTAAGGTTGCTAATGGAATTAGGGCCATTCATCAGCTGATTTCGAGATGGGGAGATACCATGGATTAATGGGTGGGTCCAATGTAATCACAAGAGTCCTTGAAAGTCGAAGAGAAGGTCCAAGAATGATGTGATTTGAGAAGAACTTTGAAATGGAGAGAGAAACCATGAGCCAGGGGATGTGTGTGGCCTTAAGGAGCTGGACAAGGCAAGGAAACAGATTCTCTCCCACAGCCTCCCAAAAGGAAAGTAGACACCTTGATTTTAGCCTGGTGAGACTGTGTTGTACTTCTGACCCGTGGAACTATAATATAATAAATGTGTGCTGCTCTAAGCCACCAAGGTGGTGGTAAGTTTTTATGGCAGTGATGGAAAACTAATCCACCTAAGTCAAGATCTAGAGCACCTCCAGGAAAACCAGTGATGGGCCAGTCCTAAGGAGCCCATACAGTTACAGAAGATAGCTTGCCTGGAATTCCTGGAATTGACCTACTCAGGAGTTTACCGTAATGCCCGGGTTGAGAGAGTTCAACTCCTTAGCATTGCTTCTTTTGGTATTTTCCTTCAATCATTTGGATTAAGGGATGTACGATATATGCTTGTCAGACCTCTTCTGAGATCTGCGATGTGAAAATGGAGTTAGACTTTCACTTAGGACCTATTTTCAAAGGACTTTGTACCAAGAAAATCTGAGTCAAGAAGGAAAAAATTTTAATCTTTTAATAGTGCCATGAGTCAGAATAAATTACTCCTTCATCACTTTGCCCCGCCCATATATGTTCTGGTCCTTGAGTTCCTGGCTTTTCCAGAGTGTGGGTCAGTCTCAATATTCAAGACCCCAGGAAATACAACACAAGTTTCCTGAAAATGCTAAGCTGTTGCCTCGATTCCTACAGCACAGATTTGCAGAACAATTTAGGCTACTTTCCTCAGAGTCCAATTCCTTTACCACAGGTCATCTCTCTAACTTTGCCATAAGCTATCTCCTATGTTTGTAATATTGTGCCTGCCTTTTGCTGAGATGTTCCAACACTTGCTATGGCACATACCGGACATCCAGTGACTGCTGCCAGGTCCACGGCCAACTCACAGGACTTGATCAAATCCTCCATCATGACCAAAGCTTGTTGTAGTTCAGCTAAGAATGCTGAATCCTTGGTCCTCTTTGGCCCATTCTGTGGAAACCAAATGCCTTGTTGGAAATCAAAAGGTAAACCATCTACCAAGTGAACAAGGGAAAGAGGACAGAGATAAGGAGAGACCAATCCAGCCAGCACAGAGACTGAGAAGGTAAATACATGGATCTCTTTCCCTGCTCCCGAAGAACGGTGGTTAAAGATACTTGCTGGTTTATATACATGATAAACACACAAGCAAAATAACCAACCGCACCTTCTGTACATTGAACTTATGAAGAATGACGTTCACAAAATCATGGATATTATATTCCTGCTATATAAGAAACATACTGACCTTTTATTTTAAAAAGTTTATTTATTTATTTTGAGAAAGAGAGAGAAATAGAGAGGCAGAGAGAGAGGGAGAAAGAATCCCACACAGGCTCTGTGCTGAAACAGGGCAGAATCTCATGAACCTCGAGATCATGACCTGAACCGAAATCAAGAGCCAGACACTGAACAGACAGAGCCACCCAGGCGCCCCCATGCTGACCTTTTTTGGAGCATGAAAAACCCAGACCCTTTATATAAGCTGCTCTCCCTGTTTTACATCCCACCAGGGGCCTATTGAAAAGTGCAATCTCAGTATCATATTCCTGTGGGTAAATTTATGCTTAAAACCATCCCAGAGGAGGATATTTGTAAACTCCCATAGAGGCAGAGAATGAGCTGCCTGCCATGTGGAGGCTTACTAATGAGTATCATGTAAATGCCCTAACTGTTGGATTTGCCACATTGAATCCCCCCTCCAGCTCTACCCTTTCTCCCTCTTCTCCTTCCCCAGTCTTTCCCACATTCTATCACCATGAAAGACATGAAAGAGGTAAGCCAACATGGTCTGCACCTCCCAAACACAAAGTCTCAGCATTAAGTGGAGACATTGTAACTGCTAATTCAAGAGACCAATGTTCCAATTATTACTACTGTGACACTTAGGACACAATAGAGATGACTGTTTCTGTGTGAAAGTCTTTTGCTTACAGTTTCAGTATTTTATTCCCCTGCTACCTACATAGCATATTTATCTGTTATCTGGTAAATACCAACAAAGAGATTTTGGTTTCTTCCTTTTTGTTTTTAAACACATCAATTTCTGGGGCGCCTGGGTGGCTCAGTAGGTTAAGCGTCCGACTTCGGCTCAGGTCATGATCTCACAGTCCATGAGTTCAAGCCCCTCACCCAGCTCTGTGCTGACAGCTCAGAGCCTGGAGCTGCTTCGGATTCTGTGTCTCCCTCTCTCTCAGCCCCTCCCCTGCTCATGCTCTGTCTCTTTCTGTCTCAAATATAAATAAAAACATTAAAAAAATTTTTTAAAAACATCAATTTCTCCTTTTTTTTTTTTTAAAGTTTACTTATTTATTTTGAGAGAGAGAGTGTGAGCATGGGAAGGGCAGAGGGAGAGAGAGAGAGGGAATCCCAAGCAGGCTCTGCACAGAACCTGACATGCAGGCTGAATCCCACCACCATGAGATCATGCCCTGGGCCCAAATCAAGAGTCAGATGCTTCACCAACGGAGCCATCCAGGCACCCCTAACACATCAATTTCTACAACAAAGGACAGACAGCTCTTTGCTGCCCCCCTCCCCCCCATATAGCCCCACCTCTTTTTGTCCTCTACAGCAAGATGCAAGCAAAGGTTTGTGCATTTTCCTAATCTCTGCCTAAGCACTGGGGATCAGTTTCTTTGGATCAGGGATTTGAGTGACAAGACCAATCAATGACTTGAGACAAAGTCATGATCTTGCTGTGTATGAATTTGAGCAGTTTGTGAGTTGGAGCCCCCCACCTTGTGCTCTCTGGTGTCAGCACAGAGCCTGCTTTGAATTCTCTGTCTCCCTCTCTATTTGCCCCTCCCCTGCGATTTTTCTTTCAAAAAAAAAAAAAAAATATATATATATATATATATATATATATATAGTCATGACCCCATGGCTTGTGGGTTCCAGCCCCACATCGAGCTCTGTGCTGACAGCTCAGAGCCTGGAAGCCTGCTTCAGATTCTGTGTTTCCCTCTCTCTCTGCCCCTCCACCCCCCCATGCTCTGTCTCTCTGTCTCTGAAAATGAATAAACCTTTAAAATATATATATATAAACATCAGGAAAAAAGCCCTCAACTTCCTTTTCGTGACTCAACTGCTCCTATTCCCTCTCCTTCCCACTAACCCTCCTCCCACAAACACAGCAGGTAGTTACTTTTACATTGCATAATGTAGGGCTCAGAAATATCCTTACAAATATTATTAAACTAACTCAGCCTAGCTCCCCTTGCTCCAGGCTATAAAATTATTATCTGTATCTTGAGCTTCTCTTAATTTGAAGGGGTCCCTACCATATATTCTGAGCAGGGAGGGCATACAAATGACTGCTCCTCATGTTTTTCTTGTTAAAACCAGAATATTTTATAGGAAATTTAAAAGAAACCCCACTGGTAAGTCACAAATTTCCTGTGAAATGTTGTATGTGGTATGGCTCCCATCTCTTCTTCTTCTTTTTTAATGTTTTATTTATTTTTGAGAGAGAGAGAGTATGAGCTGGGCAGGGGCAGAGAGAGAGGGAGACAGAACCCACAAAGCAGACTCCAGGCCCTGAGCTGTCAGTACAGAGCCCGATGCGGGGCTCGAACCCGAGAACCACGAGATCATGACCTGAGCCCAAGTCGGACGCCCAACCGACTGAGCCACCCAGGCGCCCCTCATAATCCTACCATGCAGGAAAACCACAGCTGAGATTTTATCATATTTATTTCCAGTCTTTTATGTACGCATTTTACACATTCACTTAATTTCGTGTTCCTGTTAAAACATTTTTTTAAGTTTATTTATTTTAAGAGAGAGAGGGAATGTGAGTGGGGGAGGGGCAGGGAGAGGGAGAGCCAGAATCCTAAGCAGGCTCCATACTGTCAGTAATGCAGAGCCCAAAATGGGGCTCAAACCCACGACCCTGACATCATGATCCGAGCTGAAATCAAGAGTTGAAGCTTGACCAACTGAGCCACCCAGGCACACCTCCTGTTAAAATATTTCTATGTGAAGGAAAGAAAATGTATTACTACTTGTCCTGTTACAAACCTCAGGTTGAAATTGCCTTTAATTGTTTTGTTTTTTCTGTGACTATAAATTATAGGATATATGCTATTTTAGAAAATATAAACAATAAAGATCATAAACAAGACAAACAAAATTGCCATAAATCCTTCCAACCAGAGACAGATACCATTAGTATAACAGTTAGTTATGTAAGCTAATATTTAATATACAGTACCTTAGCCGAACCTCCTTCCTGGTCTCCTGGGTCTATCTCCCAATCCTTAGGAGTCTCAAAGTCCAGCAGACCCTGCATTAATCCAAAAGCCTTATTGGAAATTAAAAAGCAAAATGCCAACTAAATCTACCATGTCAACAATCTCCAGCAAATGCCAAATCAACAGAGGATGTATGTAAGTTTGTGTGTCACATGTAAGAGCGAAAGAATGGCACAGAGTTCTTTCCACAACCAGACTCATATTGGAAACATTTTTCCGGAGCCTATTTTTTCTCACTTAACATATCACAAACATTTTTCCATGACATTATGTTTTTGTAAACATGTTTTTTAATTGTAGCAGACTGTTGCATTCTGTAGATAAATCATAATTAATTAATCTCCCTACTATTAAACATTTAGGTTCAATAATTTTTACTATAATAATAATCTTTGTGCATTTTTCCAAAGGATAAATTCCTAGAAGTGAAATCGTCAATGTTAAAAGTTTTGATGCGTATTTCCAAGTTCTTTACAGAAGGACTATGTTCCCACCAGTCATATATGAAAGCTTGCTTCATTAGCTCCACCATACATGGAGTATTAACATTTAATCAAAAAGTGTTGTCAATTCAATCGACAGAGAAATCCTACCTCATTGTTTTAATGTGAATTTCTCAAAGAGCAGGTGAGTTAGAACTTTCAAAAACGTGTTTGCCATTAGCATTTATTCTTTTGTAAACTGCCTATGTCCTCTGTTCATTTTTTAATTATTTTCTTTTTTATTTCAACTTGGAAGTATAATTGACATATAAAACTGTTAGGTATTTAAAGTATAAAGTTAAAGTATATATGGTATATATATTTGGTACACATATATATTGTAAAAGGATTGCCTCCATCTTGTTAATTAACACATCCATTACCTCACATATTTATCTCTTTTTTTCTTTTTTGGCAAGAACATTTAAGTTCTACTTTTAGCAAATTGCCATTATAAAATACACTGTTACCAACTACAGTTACAATGTTTTACATTAGATCCTCAAGCCTTATTCATCTCATAAGCTGTAAGTTTATACCCTTTTACCAACCTCTCCCTATTAATTCTTTTTTCTAATAGTAGTCTATTTAATTTTTGTAAAAGAAGAAAAATGAATATTGCATGACTTGCATTACACAGGAAATCAGCACAACCCCCTATTCTAGAACATTCTTCCTGTAATAAGCAAAATTTACTGTAAATAAGTAATGTACCATTTTCTGAATCATATATATCTTAAAATCTAGGCTAGAAAAATTCTCTACATTAAATTTGATAGTTTCCATACATAGCCTATTTGACATAAATCATGGGCTCAATAAAAGTGAATTTCTGTTGTCCCTAAATGCATCTATTTTTAATATATGCTAATATACAATATATTTTTAATCAGTTTGCCATGACTCATTAGACATTATGTACATTATGTACTCAAAACTCTGTTCTGACTGTTAATTTTCATAATATCTCAGGAAAGATATTATTTCATAGGTATCATTTCTTTTTGGTTCTTTTTTTTTAAATTATTAACTTCTATGCACTCATTACTAGACATGCTGACCATCTGTCATGTATCTATCTTGCTTATATGATATTTTACCCAATTTTTCAGGTGTCTATTTTTAATGGTATAATCTATCATTTCTTTCCCTTATTTTTGTACTAGGGAAAAGCTGTCTCAGACCAGGATCCCATGATCCTTTCTAAGCCATGAGACAATCAGTCAGACATCCATGTTCTTAAAGAAGTTGATGGTAGGCCTTTCAGAATGAGCTCTGTCCCTCAGGGTGGAGAACACTGGAAAGTTCTTCCTTCCCTCACAGGCGGGCCAGTGGTCTGAACTTGTTTTTCCAGCATGCAGTGAATGGGAAAAACTGGTTTGCCTTGAGTAACCTCCATTGGTTTCGCGCAGACCCCCGAGGAATATTTTACAGTGATTCTGTCTCTTGTTTCCTCAGTGAAATGAACTAACAAAATTCTCTAATTACTTGTCACCTGGACTACCTCATTTATGCTCCCAAGAAACATACCAGGAAAGTACTAGTACTACCTTCATGTTACAGTTGAGGAACCTGAGGCAGAGAGAGGTTAAGTAATTTGCCTGAGTCCAAGCAGTCTGGAAGCGTCAGAGCTGGATCCACACCCACGATGGCTAACTCCTCAGTCTGGGTTTCTAATTACTGTGCCCTGTGGTCCTCCAGCTATGGTACAGAACTTCATGATTGTCTCAGCATCACTTCTGTGGGAAAACTTGAGCACCTCGGTACCCGATGCCCCCAGACGGAGGTGGTGAGGACCCCCACTTGTCTGGCTCCTTCCTCACGGGGCTCAGTGGTAAGACTTGTCCAGCTTAGATGACAGTAAAGATGGGACAGTTACAGGAGTGTGAAGCCCTGAATGAACACTATTGAAACACACTCACACATGCCACTCGTGGAGGGAGGCAGTGGGCATCACCCTCATTCCCACACCAGTGTGACATCTCTGGGTATAAAACAATGGCTATGTGTTCCCAGAAGCTTCCCAGGGGTCAGCACTGAGTGAGCTCTCTTCATGCATTACCCACTTGCCCCTCACACCAATCCTGTGAAGGAGGTTCCAGTATCTCACACAGGAGAAAACTAAGGCCGAAGAGGTCCAGTAATGCCACAGCTGGTGACGGCATAGCTGGTCCAGCCTCGGCTGGGGCTGCAGATGCAAACCGAAAAGGGCACCTTTTTCTGAGGGCAGAATGTTAGGCAATGAGCTTAACCTCCCTGAGCCTCAGTTTCTTCATACACCAGAGACTTTCTGGTGCATCTGATTGTGGGGATTAAATAAGAAATTTATATGGGAAGGTACCCAGTAAATAGCAGGTGCTTGTGTTTTTTTCAGAGGTGGTAACCACTGGGCAAGAGCTGCTCATAAAGGTTAACTCAAAACACAACATGGAGAAGCGGCTGAAGCTTTCCCTCAGCTCACACATGGGGAGGCAGCCTGACAGCTCCTTCTGTCCTGCTTGGGTGTTTGGGAGTGCTCTCCTGCAGGTGTGCTGATGTCAGAGAAAGAACCACCTAGGTGTTCAGCAGAGCAAAATTCATTCTGTTATGTTGCTCTTGAGAAAGATCTCTTAATCTAGGGGTGGAGGTGGATGTTGCAAAAGGAGAAAAGACTCCGGTTTTGCCTTCTCCCTTCCATTGCTTTAATGTACATAAAATTGTGACTTTGAGGAAAATCACAATTCTTTTCTGAAGCTCCTTGCCTTATCTGTAAAAATGGAGCCGACGATATCTTCGTTGTTTTTTTTTTTTTTTTGTTTTGTTTTTATTTATATTTGGGACAGAGAGAGACAGAGCATGAACGGGGGAGGGGCAGAGAAAGAGGGAGACACAGAATCGGAAACAGGCTCCAGGCTCTGAGCCATCAGCCCAGAGCCCGACGCGGGGCTCGAACTCACGGACCGAAAGATCGCGACCTGGCTGAAGTTGGACGCTTAACCGACTGCGCCACCCAGGCGCCCCTGGAGCTGACGATATCTTACCTGCCGATATCTTACATGAGAATAGAGGCTCTGGCTGCCTCCCTACCCTCTCAGCTGCCAGCAGTGTGGAGGGACTCCTTTCACCCTTTGCTCCCAAGAACCTCTCCAGCCCCAAACCAGCCTCCTTAGAGATTCATGCCTTGGGCTGCATGTTGGATTAGCCAGGCTTCCAGGTCCCTTTCAACTCTCTGATTCTTTGGTCTTACTCCTCACTGAGGTGTGCTGCTTTAGACTTGGAGGACAGAAAAAGCCTGGAGGATAGACGTATCTTCACATTGGGAAGATAAAGTCATAGCTCTACATGTCTAAGGAAAAGAGCACCACAGCACGTGCATGTTTTCCCAGCACAGGAAAGCGCTGTCTCATTGACTTTACCTTTAACAGCATCTGGTATTTGAGAAGCCTCTGGCTTGGTCCTCTAAGATACTTAAAAAGAGGGATATTGTGATCCAGTTGGCGCTGGCACACCTTTAAAAGTCAAACAGAAACAATGTGAAACAAAACAAACAACACCCAGAGGGAACAAAGCGGCAGCATTTGAAAACAAGAAATGAAGCGGGCTCCTTGTGGAAATGAGCTTGACCAGCTTTGTAAAGCTATTGAGTTGTTGGATCCCTCAGGAACAGTATGTAAAATGAGAGAAAGGGGAAAAAGCATGGCTTGGCTAGTAATTGTATATGCAACTAGGGAAGCAGGACCATTTATTTCTTTTAGAAAGCAACTCTGGTAGAATGCAGTGGGGCACTTCAAATCCTGAAAAAGATGCAGCCTGTGTTTGAGTTGGGGGTGATGCTGTCTATTCAGCTCATTTTGAGTCTGGAAGACTTGATGACTTATGTGATGACTGATGAATATCATTCCAGGGAGCCCATTTAAAATTCCCCATCCTAATTTGAGAAACCTAACAGAAGACCATGGGGGGACGGAAGGGGAAAAAATAGTTTCAGAGAGGAGGCAAACCATAAGAGACTCTTAAATACAGAGAACAAACTGAGGGTTGATGGGAGGGCCGGCGGAGAGGGGAAACGGGTGATGGGCATTGAGGAGGGCCCTTGGGATGAGCACTGGGTGTTGTATGTAAGCGATGAATCACGGGAATCTACTTCTGAAACCAAGAGCACACTATATACACTGTATGTTAGCTAACCTGACAGTAAGTGATATTTATGAATGAATGAATGAATAAATAAATAAATAAATAAATCCCCCATCCTACAAGAGGGCTCTGGTTTGCTCATCAGGCTACAGCTGCTCCTCACAGGCCTGTCCCATAGAGACCCAAGGCAGCATCAAAACTTCCAACACAGAATTTCAAAATAGGAGAGACTTTTAATAAATATAAATTCAAATGCCAAATTCCCCTGCCTTGTTCATACTTCTGATTTCTTTAAAGACTTGGCGCATGCAAACATTGCTCAGGGAAAGCAATTTGTGGGAGACTTTGTGGTCTCAACATTACCCCAAAGAAGGCGCAGTCTTGACATTCTTGCCAGATTGCCCTAGCTCGGGGCAGATTCTTATGGTATTTAAAATACATTTGAAGATCTTCTTTCTGGAAGAGGAAAAGCATTGGAACAAATTAATCAGGTGGCATTTTTCAGGAAGAGAATAGGATGATACTGTTTATTCACTCGAATATTCAACAAGCCTGAGTATTTTCATGGTGTGAGGAACTGGGGGTGTGTGATAACCTTATGTTGGGGTGACTGTGTGATGGGAGGGCAAACAGAGGGCTCTAAACAGCCATAAGTACTAAGCACGGACATGAACAGGGTGCTGTGGGAGCAACTACAGGACTCTGGTAAATCAGTTAATTCATAAACCGGGATAGGTTTTTCATCTCCGTCCTTCCTCCTCTGCTCTTTACCCAGGACATCACTGTTCCCCCAGAATAGCTCTGCAGTGAGGGACAAAACTGACAAAAAAGGTGCCAGTAGCTGATGGCCCCATCTTTCTCTCTCCCTGTCTTCCTATTATGATCATCATGGGCCAAACCTAGGGGGGAAAAAAACCCCAAGAGACAGCCAAAAGGTACAAACACCCCAAGAGGAAAACATGGCAGTTTGGACACAGCAACATAGATCTAAGTCCTTTGGACAATTCTCAGAGGAGCAGGCTCTGCCTCAGACATCACCTTCCACCTGTAGCACCAGACTCCAAGATGGGAAAAATTACACGACTATCCTAAGGCTAGAGATGAAAGATTCCAAGTGCTGTGTGGCCTATTTCTTTTTGCCTCAAAGGCCATGAGAGATGGGCACATACCTATCAACAGCCCAGATAGAAAGGTTGCCCAGATAGAAAGGAGTCAGCTTGCCAGCTCCATCCACTCCATCAGTAGGACCTGGCCCAGAGCAGCTGCACTTGTCATAAAGCCTGTGCCGCTCTGGTTGGAGAAGCCCATGTGGCTGCATCCTCATGGACTTCTGTGTCCCTATGCTTCTCAGGCCAACTCTTGATGTTCCCTCATGTGGACACAGGTTATTTCTTCCCTCACAGCTTTAGCTAGGTCTATTCTTCTTCTCCTTCTCCTTCTCCTTCTCTGTCTCCTTCTTCTTCTAAGTTTATTTATATATTTTGATAGAGAGACAGAGAGTGAGTGGGGAAGGGGCAGACAGAGAGAGGGAGAGAGAGAAAGAATCCCAAGCAGGCTCTGCACTGTCAGTGCAGAGCTCGATGTGGGGCTCGAACTCACCAACTGTGAGATCATGACCTGAATGAACTGAAACCAAGAGTCAGACAGATGTTCAAATGACTGAGCCACCCAGGCACCCCAAGGTCTATTCTACTTCCAAACACACTGCTGTAGTGAATGCTTTCTGTTTCTGTAGTTCTCCTCCTCTCCTGATGGATTGTAAGTGGTCATTTCACTTCACTCCAAGAACTTCAGCAACTCTGTCCTTTGCTACTCTCTCCAGGAAAAACTACATGCGTGTGTGTATGGAAGGGAGATGACCCTTGAGGAAATGTTGTTCAGACAGGTTAAGGAACTAAAATAATAACTCCGAGCTTAACAATATGTTCATTATTTATTCACTTGAGAACTATCTACCGAGTGCCATTGATAAGCCAGGCATGGCTTCCAGAGCAGAGCAACCTACACATGGGGAACATTTGTGCCATACCAAAAGTCAGGCTTATAAAATATTACAAACTGATAAAGGCATCTCACCCACATTGGGTCTGTCAGAGCACAAAACATTGGCCTTTAGCACCTAAAACAATTCAAGGTTTCACTGCTTTCAACACTAACCACAAAAGGATTCTTTTTAAAAAAAATTTTTAAGGTTTATTTATTTTTGAGAGAGAGACAGAGACAGAGAGAGAGAGACAGAGAGAGAGAGAGAGACAGAGAATGAGCAGAGGAGGGGCAGAAAGAGAGGGAGACACAGAACCCAAAGTAGGCTCCAGGCTCTGAGCTGTCAGCACAGAGCCCAATGATGGGCTCGAACCCACAGACTGCGAGATCATGACCTGAGCCAAAGTTGGAGGCTTAACTTACTGAGCCACCCAGGTGCCCCAACTACTAGAGGATTCTTAAAAGCTGGAGGAGATTTTGGAGGTCCAGCCCCCCACTCAGTAAAACAACCTCCACAGTCAGCCACCTTTCCCCAAACTTTCCCAGTAACAGAGGCAAATGGTTCTCCTGATGGATGCTGAGCAGAAACCTGTGTTCCTATGTCTGTGTACTATGTCTGCACTTTGAGCAATGCAGAACATTATAAGCCTTCAAACACCAAAACACAACTGTTGACTTAAATTTGCTCTTCAATCCAAAATTCCTTAAAGAAAGGATATACACTAACCAGCAGCATAAGAAAGTGTCTGATTACCCTCACCTTCTTATAGAATAAATCAGGAGGCTAAAAAAAATTGCTACCAAAAATTCATATTCACACATGATTGTTTATGCATTAGGACAGAGCCTCTGGTGGTGGAGTGTCCAGATTAAGTTCTTGGCTTTGTCACTTACAAACCAAATGGCCCAAGTTCAGTGACTTAACCTTCCTATACTTCAGTTTTCTCATGTATTAAATGGGTTTATGACAATAGTCAACTATGATTGCTGTGAGATTAAATGAGATGATGTATTAAAACTTCTCAGCAAATGCCCAATATAACATACAGAATACCCAATAAATGGTAGCTATTGACAAAGCACTTTGTACTTTGTAGAACCCTTCTGCATACACTATTTTATTAGATCTCCACAACAACTTTACATATTGGTATGATTAAGCTTATTGTATGGAGAAAGAAAGTGAGACTCCAAGGGTTGAAGTGATTTAATGTGAGGTCATGCAGATAGCAAGTGGCTCAACTTAGACAAGAAGTTACATTCCTGACTCCCACCTCAGTGCTCTTTCAGCCATGTCTGAAAGCACGCTCTTTTGTGCCATGTCAGATCTCAGAGCAAATGGAACTCAAAGTAAACTACTGACAAATGTTATTCTACATAGAGCTTGGCCTCTGGGGCAGGATCTTCCTGGATTCTGCAAGCTATAGAGTCTGATTAAAACACTTGGACAGAGCAATATTTCAAAACTCATCTCCACAGAATTCTGCAAATGCTACTAAGAAAAGGTCAACTGTTGTGGTACATAATGGTTGAGGGGCCCATCTTATTAGCTAACAAATACATAGCAGTAGCCAATTCCCTCAAGGAGCCTCAAAGAATAGGTGGTCATGGTTTTTAATTACTCCATTTGTCCCAGACTAATAACTTTGTGCTTGGGAAGAATTTATTACCTATATTCTGTCTCCAACATCATAAATCATTAGGATTATATGCAGCATTTAAATGCAGGTCTGGATGGAATAATTTCTGAGGTTTCTCCCAAAATGGAGGACTATAGAAGGCTTTGCAAAACTTTAGGTGAGGAATTCTTCTAGGAAAAGATGTTTTGTCAGCAATTCCCTGACCATTTCATTATACTTGGACAGTTTTTAAAATAATATCCACTTTCTCCCCACAGGGTTCTGGCCTTTTCTCATCCAACAATTTAAACAAGTCTTTGCAATAATGACATAAGCAATTATAAAATATTTCTAAACTATGAAACTAGATTTCACATTGGTGGTTTGATGAATACAAAATTGCAAAACAGTATAAAGCACTAATAATGCTATAAAAGTAACTCAAAAAGGAAATTAATCAGATTGAATACAAAATCATTTTTAGTGTATCTTGAATTCTGGCACTTGATGAAAAGCCTATGATGAGGCTGTGGTGGAAAGCTGATACCGGGCCAAGAAAGGTCCTTCTAAGCCATTAGGAATGCTGAAGGTTGAAGGCTCTGCCTCTCCATTATGTCAAAGGCCTTGAAACCTGGGGATTTTTATTTTCTTGCTGTCAGTTTATCACAAGTACTGCTCTTAGACTTATCAGCCATAATTTGGATTGTTTAAAAATTTTTAAGCTGTTTGAGCTGTTGTGTCAGGCTCACAAAAAGAAAAAGAAGAAAGGGAATGAAAAGAAGGGCTGGTTGAGAGAGAAGAAATGGGAGACTTTGAGAGTTCAGGGCGTGAGGATCATCTGCATAGTCCTCCCAAGGGAAGAAAGTACTTGGTGGGGAGTGGTACTGGGCAATACATTTCTCTGTGACAGCTTACAGAGTACCACTGGACCAAACAGCCTATTCACTGCCCAAAGGAAGGGTGCAGAGAGGGCAAAAGGGAAGAGGTGTGGCAGCAGGGAAGGGGAAATAATCAGAAGTATGGTGTTGTAGGACAGGAAATCATAAACTGGGTGCTAAGTATATCCTCTATGTTGTATAAATAAATAAATAAATAAACAAACAAATAAATAAAATGGAAGAAAATACATTTTTTGAGACTTTTAGTTTAGCATCAGTACTTCTCTTGAGAGTGTTAATACAACTTTAGTGAGGAATTTAAACCTGCTGTGTGATTCTTGTTTGAAAACAGTTCAGTCATTCAGAGCAGGATCGTCTGCTTTGCAGGAGGTGGGGGGGGGGGGCAGTCTTCCGTGTCACCAGGCTTTACAGGAGGCCAAGCTTGTAAGTTGCTCCCACCTGTCATATGAGCTTAGTCAAACTGGACTCATCCGACTCCTGCTTTGCACTCAAAAGGCATGTGTAACTCTTTAGACCATTGATATTTCCATTTGCCCTTGCCTCATACACAGAAAATTAAGGGTTAACTTTAATCACATGGTTGTTTCGACTTACTGGGAGCACAGACTTACTCTCTTGAGAAAGCAACGTGCCAGAAGTGCAGGGTTTTCGGTGCACTTTTCCAATTCTTTTAGAAAAGTCCTAGGGAAAGAAAAGTATAATAATGTTTTAATTTTTTTACATGTATCAGGTTAAAACTTTTTAAAAGTAAAATCATATAAGGTTTTAAGAGGTCTTTAGAAAAATGCTGTTTTCCAGGCTTTGTTGCTCTTGACTCATTTTCAACACACCGATTTGGGAGAAAAAACATTCTGTGACATTACTAGGATTCCTTGAAACTACCTACAGCTGTCCTGATCATTCTAAGCACTAGCTATAGATAGACAAGATGCAATGATGCTCCCTGCTATATGTTAATAACATTAATAAGAACTGCTGTTGCCGCTGCTACTGTTAATATCACTGAGAGCTTCAAGTAAGTCAGGCATAAGCTAAGTACTTCATAAACAATATCTCATTTAATCATCCACCAAATCTTGCAAAGTAGGGTTTCATAAATATGAAACCTGAGTTACATAGAGGTTGAATAACTTTTCCAGAGAAGGTAGCAGAAACGGGATTTCCATTTCACTTTTGTGTCTGACCAATGGACAGGAGACGTGTTTGAGAAGCAACTGTGGTTCAATTCACCAAGCAGTCTTTTCCTTTTCCATCAATTACATGTGTGATTTGGGGTTACTATATTGAGTAAAGAGAGGAAACGAGCTGCAGTATCATCTGTGAAATGAAAGGCTGGGAAGATGATTTCTAAAGTCCCTTCCTCCTCTAAGTCTCTAAAACTCAACACCCAACCAGCCCTGGGCTACAAGGACAACTTGTTTAACCAGTTAGCATTTTCCAACACCCTAGCTCCCAGCACTACCCTATGACAGTACGTATGTGGATGTGTGTCTTGCTCATCTTTGTATTCCCAATGCTGAACACAGTGCCTGACATAGTACAGGTCCACAATAAAATGCTGATGCATGAATAGATAAATAAGCAAAGGAACATACAAGAAATATTACCTTAATTCCTGACACCTGGTACATGCTCCATTGGTGCCTTTCCCCTTCTCCCTCAGAGATCTGTGGCACTTCTTCCCTCCCTCTCATCCCATCCCACCCCAACCAAATCCACGGACTCTGAACTACTTGCTTAAGCCTAGCAATGTCTAAGCATGTTCATCTCCAAATTCCATCAGTCTGATTTCCATTGTTCTTCTACTTTCCATTTTTCCTGATAATATAAATTACTATATACCTGTTGTGAAATTCATAAAGTTCTCTAATATTCCCAAAGAGAAGCTCCTTGTTATTCTGAAGAACATCTGGAATCAGATGCTTCAGCCAAATAAAATCCATTGGAGTGATATATCCCTGCAGAGGTGGAAACAAGGTAGGTTTTACAGGTAGGAACATATGAGAGATGATCTGAATTAGCTACTCCAGGGACCAAAACCCTAATAATTAGGAAATATGGTGTTTAGAAAAATGCTGTTTTCCAGGCTTTGTTGCTCTTGACTCATCTTGATTGACAGTTATCTCCTGAAACCCATTCCATCAAATGCTTTCTTTTGATATTATGTCCTTCATGTGTCCATCTTCAGAAGATGGTTAAATGGCAATGATAATAAAACGGCAATTTATAGAAAGAAAAAAATGTATTTTTAAAATGTTTATGTTATACAAGTCAAGTGTGAAAGCCAAAGACTTACCCATCATTTTACAACCAAACACAATTACTATTGTTTTATTATATTTCCTTCATAACTTTTTAAAAGCTTATTTTATATGGTTGTAATCACAGTAATCACATGTAATTCATATTCTGTTTTTCCACATGCATTTTGGGCTAAGCTTGTAAAATTCTACATATATTGTTTTTACTTTTATAAGCATTTTTCAATGTTGCTACATTTATTCAAAATAATTATTTTTTAAAATATAATTTATTGTCAAATCAGTTTCCATGCAACACCCAGTGCTCATCCCAACAAGTGCCCTCTTCAATGCCCATCGCCCACTTTCCCCTTTCCCCCACCCCCCATCAACCCTCAGTTTATTCTCTGTACTCAAGAGTCTCTAATGGTTTGCCTCCCTCTATCTCTGTGAGTTTTTCCTCCCTTCTGCTCCCCAAGGTCTTCTGTTAAGCTTCTCAAGATCCACATGAGTGAGGGGCGCCTGGGTGGCTCAGTCGGTTGAGCGGCTGACTTCGGCTCAGGTCATGATCTCGCGGTCCGTGAGTTCGGGCCCCGCGTCAGGCTCTGTGCTGACAGCTCAGAGCCTGGAGCCCGTTTCAGATTCTGTGTCTCCCTCTCTCTGGCCCTCCCCCATTCATGCTCTGTCTCTCTCTGTCTCAAAAATAAATAAACATTAAAAAAAAAATTAAAAAAAAAAAAAGATCCACATGAGTGAAAACATATGGTACCTGTCTTTCTCTGGCTGACTTATTTCACTTAGCATAATACCCTCCAGTTCCATCTATGTTGCTGCAAATGGCCAGATTTCATTCTTTCTCATTGTCAAGTAGTATTCCATTGTATATATAAATCACATCTTCTTTATCCATTCATCAGTTAATGGACATTTAGGCTCTTTCCACAATTTGGCTATTGTTGAAAGTGCTGCTATAAACATTGGGGTACAAGTGCCCCTATGCATCAGCACTCCTGTATCCCTTGGGTAAATTCCTACCAGTGCTATTGCTGGGTCATAGGGTAGTTCTATTTTTAATTTTTTGAGGAACCTCCACACTGTTTTCCAGAGTGACTGCACTAGTTTGCATTCCTACCAACAGTGCAAGAGGGTTCCCATTTCTCCACATCCTCGCCAGCATCTATAGTCTTGTGATTTGTTAATTTTAGCCACTCTGACTGGTGTGAGGTGGTATCTCAGTGTGGTTTTGATTTGTATTTCCCTGATGATGAGTGTCATTGACCATCTTTTCATGTGTCTGTTGGCCATCTGGATGTCTTCTTTGGAAAACTGTCGCTTCATGTCTTCTGCCCATTTCTTCACTGTATTATTTGGTTTTCTGGGTGTTTTGTTTGGTAAGTTCTTTATAGATTTTGGATACTAACCCTTTATCTGATATGTCATTTACAAATATCTTTTCCCATTCCACCAGTTGCCTTTTAGTTTTGTTGTTTGCAGTGCAGAAGCTTTTTATCTTGATGAGATCCCAATAGTTCACTTTTGCTTTTAATTACATTGCCTTTGGAGACGTGTTGAGCAAGAAATTGCTGTGGCGTAGGTCAAACAGGAACTTTTTCCTGTTTTCTCCTCTAGAGCTTTGATGGTTTCCTGTCTCACATTCAGGTCTTTCATCCATTTGGGGTTTATTTTTGTGTATGGTGTAGCAAAGGGATATAGTTTCATTCACGTTGCTTTCCCGTTCTCCCAGCACCATTTGCTAAAGAGACTGTCTTTTTTCCATTGGATACTATTTCTAGCTTTGTCAAAGATTAGTTGGCCATACATTTGTGGGTCCAATTCTGGGTCGTCTATTCTATTTCATTGGTCTATGTGTCTGTTTTGGGGCCAATACCATACTGTCTTGATGATTACACCTTTGTAGTAGAGGCTAAATTGTGGGATTGTGATGCCTCCCACTTTGGTTTTCTTTTTCAACATTACTTTGGTTATTCTGGGTCTTTTGTGGTTCCTTACAAATTTTAGGACTGTTTGTTCTAGCTTTGAGACGAATGCTAGTGCAATTTTAATTGGGATTGCATTGAATGTGTAGATTGTTTTGGGTAGTATTGACATTTTAACAATATTTATTCTTCCAATCCATGAGCATGGAATGTTTTTCCATTTCTTTGTATCTTCTTCAATTTCTTTCATAAGTGTTCTATAGTTTTCAGCATACAGATCTTTTACATCTTTGGTTAGGTTTATTCCTAGGTATTTTATTATTCTTGGTGCAGTTGTGAATGGGATCAGTTTCTTTAGTTGTCTTTCTGTTGCTTCATTATTAGTGTATAAGAATGCAACTGATTTCTGTACATTAAATTTGTATCCTGTGACTTTGCTGAATTCATGTATCAGTTCTAGCAGACTTTTGGTGGAGTCTATTGGATTTTCCATATAATATCATGTCATCTGCAAAAAGTGAAAGCTTGACTTCATCTTTGCCAATTTTGACGCTTTTGATTTCCTTTTGTTGTCTGATTGCTGATGCTAGAACTTCCAACACTATGTTAAACAACAGCAGTGAGAGTGGACATCCCTGTCATGTTCCTGATCTCAGGGGGAAAGCTCTCAGTTTTTCCCCATTGAAGATGATATTATCTGTGGGCTTTTGACAAATGGCTTTTATGATGTTTAAGTATGTTCCTTCTAGCCCGACTTTCTTAAGGGTTTTTATTAAGAAAGGATGCTGTATTTTGTCAAATGCTTTTTCTGCATCTATTGACAAGATCATTTGGTTCTTAGCCTTCCTTTTATTAATGTGATGTATCACATTGATTGATTTGTGAATATTGAACAAGTCCTGCAGCCCAGGAATGAATCCCACTTGATCGTGGTGGATAATTCTTTTTATGCTGTTGAATTCAATTTGCTAGTATCTTGTTGAGAATTTTTGCATTCATAGTCATCAGGGATTTGGCCTGTAGTTCTCTTTTTTGCCTGGGTGTCTGTCTGGTTTGGGAATCAAAGTAATGCTGGCTTCATAGAATGAGTCTGGAAGTTTTCCTTCCATTTCTATTTTTTGGAACAGCTTGAGAAGGATCGGTATTAACTCTGCTTTAAACGTCTGGTAGAATTCCCCAGGGAAGCCATCTGGTCCAGGACTCTCATTTGTTGGGAGATTTTTGATAACTGATTCAATTTCTACACTAGTTATGGGTCTGTTCAAATTTCCTATCTCTTCCCATTTGAGTTTTGGTAGTGTGTGGATGTCTAGGAATTTGTCCATTTCTTCCAGGTTGTCCAATTTGCTGGCATATAATTTTTCATAGTATTCCCTGCTAATTGCTTGTATTTCTGAGTGATTGGTTGTGATAAATCCATTTTCATTCATGATTGTATCTATTTGGGTCCTGTCTCTTTTCTTTTTGAGAAGCCTGGCTAGAAGTTTATCAATTTTGTTTATTTTTTCAAAAAAACAACTCTTAGTTTCATTGATCTGTTCTACTTTTTTTTTTTTTTTTTTGGATTCTATATTGTTTATTTCTGCTCTGATCTTTATTATTTCTCTTCTTCTGCTGGGTTTGGGGTGTCTTTGCTGTTCTGCTTCTAGTTCCTTTATGTGTGCTGTTAGATTTCGTATTTGGGATTTTTTCTTGTTTCTTGAGATAGGCCTGGATTGCAATGAATTTTACTCTTAGGACTGACTTTGCTGCATTCCAACGGGTTTGGATTGTGGTGTTTTCATTTTCCTTTGTTTCCATATATTTTTTAATATCTTCTCTAATTGTCTGGTTGACCCATTTGTTCTTAGTAGGCTTTTCTTTAACCTCCATGCTTCTGGAGGTTTTCCAGACTTTTTCCTGTGGTTGATTTCAAGTTTCATAGCAGTGTGATCTGAAAGTGTGTATGGTATGGCCTCAATTCTTTTATATTTATTGAGGGCTGTTTTGTGACTCAGTATGTGATCTATCTTGGAGAACGTTCCATGTGCACTCAAGAAGAAAGTAAATTCTGCTGTTTCAGGATTTACTGAAGCATAGTTCTAAATGTATCTGTCAAGTCCATCTGGTCCAGTGTATCATTCAGGGCCATAGTTTCTTTAATGACTTTGTGTCTAGATGATCTGTCATTGTTGTAAGTGGAGTATTAAAGTCCCCTGTAATTACCACATTCTTACCAATAAGACTGCTTATGTTTGAGATTAATTGTTTTATATATTTAGATGCTTCTGAATTCGGTGCATAAATTCATAATTGTTAGCTCTTCCTGATGGATAGACTCTAATTATTATATAATGCCCTTCTTCATCTCTTGTTACAACCTTTAATTTAAAGTCTAGTTTGTCTGAAATAAGTATGGCTACTCCAGCTTTCTTTTGACTTCCAGTAGCATGATAGATAGCTCTCCATCCCCTCACTTTCAATCTGAAGGTGTTCTCAGGTCTAAAATGGGTTTCTTTTAGACAGCAAATAGATGGATCTTGTCTTTTTATCCATTCTGATACCCTATGTCTTTTGATTAGAACGTTTAGTCCATTTACATTCAGTGTTATTATTGAAAGATATGGGTTTGGAGTCATTGTGATGTCTGTAGGTTTCATGCTTGTAGTGATGTCTCTGGTACTTTGTGGTCCTTGCAACATTTCACTCACAGAATCCCCCTTAGGATCTCTTGTAGGGGTGGTTTAGTGGTGATGAATTCCTTCAGTTTTTGTTTGTTTGGGAAGACCTTTATCTCTCCTTCTATTCTGAATGACAGACTTGCTGGATAAAGGATTCTCAGCTGCATATTTTTTCTGTTCATCACATTGAAGATTTCCTGCCATTCCTTTCTGGACTGCCAAGTTTCAGTAGATAGGTCTGCTACTACCCTTACGTGTCTACCTTTGTATGTTAAGTCCTGTTTATCTCTAGCTGCTTTGAGAATTCTCTCTGTATTCTTGTATTTTGCCAGTTTCACTATGATATGTCATGCAGAAGATTGATTCAAGTTATGTCTGAAGGGAGTTCTCTGTGCCTCTTGCATTTCAATGTCTGTTTCCTTCCCCAGATTGGGGAAGTTGTCAGCTATGATTTGTTCAAGTACACCTTCAGCCCCTTCCTCTCTCTCTTCTTCTTCTTCTGGAATTCCTATGATACAGATATTGTTCCATTTGATTGCATCACTTAGTTCCCTAATTCTCCCCTCACGATCCTGGATTTTTTAAACTCTCTTTTTCTCAGTTTCCTCTTTTTCCATAATTTTATCTTCTAATTCACCTATTCTCCCCTCTGCCTCTTCAATCTATGCTGTGGCCACCTCCGTTTTATCTTGCATCTCACTTATAGCATTTTTAAATTCATCATGACTATTTTTTAGTTCCTTGATCTCTGCAGCAATAGATTCTCTGCTGTCTTCTATGCCTTTTTGAATCCCAGCAATTAATTTTATGACTATTATCCTAAATTCTTGTTCAGTTATATTGCTTATATCTGATTTGATCAATTCTTTAGCTGTCACTTCTTCCTGGAATTTCTTTTAAGGAGAATTCTTCCATGTCATCAGTTTGGCTAATTTTCTGTCCCTTATGAGTTTTAAAAGCTTGTTACATGCTCTGCACCTGTGAGCACTGCTATATTAAAGGGGGGTCATATACATTACAGGGTCTGACCCTTCAGGAGGTGTTTTTTGGAGGGTGTTACTTGCTCTCCGTTATTGTGACTTTGGTTATTTTATTTCCCTACTTGTAGTGATGTTTTGGACCCTCCACCAGGTGTGCTTTGATTTGTTCCTTGAAGTAGCCCTGGAAAGGAAAACAAACAAACAAACAGCAAACAAAAACACACAAACACACAGACAAATAAAACAAACAAACAATCCAAAAGCAAAAAACCAAAAACACCAACTATAAGTAAAGAATAGGGTGGAGGCGGTGCTGATGGAAGAGCACATACAAAGGGAGAAATGACAGGGGTGGGGAAAAAGAAAAAAATAAACACTGACCAGGCAGAGAGACTAAATGGCTTAATCCAGAGAGAAAGGAAAATAAAGAAGGAGGTGGAGGGGGGAAGAAACGATGATAAAGTTATCTAGACAGAGAAACTATACAGCTTGAGTATTCCAGAGAGAGAGAGAAAGGAAAGTAAAGAAGGAGGTGTAGAACATGTATCAAGAGAATGGATTAAATATGTCTGCTTAGGGGCGCCTGGGTGGCGCAGTCGGTTAAGCGTCCCACTTCAGCCAGGTCACAATCTCGCGGTCCGTGAGTTCGAGCCACGCGTCAGGCTCTGGGCTGATGGCTCAGAGCCTGGAGCCTGTTTCCGATTCTGTGTCTCCCTCTCTCTGCCCCTCCCCCGTTCATGCTCTGTCTCTCTCTGTCCCAAAAATAAATAAACGTTGAAAAAAAAAAAATGTCTGCTTAAACAAACCAAGAACCAGAGTAACCGGCCTAGAGGAGGAAAGAGATAAGGAGAAAAGGAAGGTAGAATGTATCTAAATAATAAGAATTGTCCTAGAATTAATCCAGGTAATGTAGAAGCGCTGGTCTGGAAGAGTGGTCCATCTGGTTCCTCAGGGTCTATGCTGCTCCAGTAGACACGCACTTACCCCGCGCGGAGGGGCGTGGTTTGGTATAGGCAGGTCCCGCCTCCATGGTGAGCCCCACCGACCCATCTCTGAGGCCGGGCCTTGGTGGTGGGGAGAAAAATGGCGACGTGTCCCCCCCCCCCCCCCGCCCCCCGTCTCCTCTCCTCTGACCCGGTGGACTCCGTTGGAGTCATCCTCACTGTGCCATGGGCACAGAGGGGCAGTCTTTCTCGCTCCACCAATTCCCATGCCCCAGTGATTGGCTGGGATTTAAACTCCCATTCCATGTGCCCTGGCACTGGGGAAGCGCCTCTCTATGCCATCCGATATGTGGTCCTGGCTGTTTTTGTTCCATGTTGCAGCACTCCAGGGAGGGGGTCACTTTCTCCTACTGTGGACTGTGCCCCTGACCTAGCCACCGAGCATGGGGGTGGCAGAAGCAGCCAGGCTTTGTCTTGTGCTGCAGCACTTCGGGGAGGTGACTGCTTTCTCCTACTGTGACTGTGCCCCTGACCTACCACTGAACCCGGGGGTAGCTCCCCTCCTCCCCAGGTGCACGAACAGGGCAGCCAGCCCCAGTCCGAAGAAAGCCCCGCAGTTAGAGATGGGATCCCTCTCTGTCTGGGTCTGAGGTTTTTCTCTTGTCCAGATGCAGTCCTACACTTCCCCAGCCACTCTTTCGCTTCCCTTTGGCTCTTCGCAGAAGGCCCCACGCGGCCCCATTTTATCTCCTCCAGTTCGCAATCACCCACCTATAGCCTGTCAGGTTGTTCCGGTGTCTCCCTGTTAGACTCAGTCTCTTTTCCTCCCCATCTCTCAGGTTCAAAGTCCTTTGGCTTCAGCCCTTCTTTGTTTGAGAGATGCGGGAAGTACAGATCCCCCTACTTCTCCGCCATATTGGCCTGATCCTCCAAAATAATTATTTTGTAACTGTTGAATAATATTTCATTTAGCATAAATATCAGAATTTATTAACCACCCCCTATTTTATTGGCGATTTTTTCTTCTGATATTTTATTATTAAAAAATTCTATTATAACTTTGTACACATAATCTTTTTCTCAAAATTATTTCCTTAGGAAAATAGGAAAATTCTAATTTTCACTCTCAAGCAAAAAAATGCTACTTGAAACAATTCCCCTTTATTAAATTATCAAAAACATTCAAATTATCATGCTCATTGTTGACAACCATAGGATGAACCTATTGGGCACTGCTAGAATCATATGAAGTGGCACAGTCCCTTGTAAGTTATTTGGTTAAATGGATCAATAGTCAAACGAATGTTCTTATTTCTATTGGAAAGATACTTGTGATAGTGTAAGACCTGTCCCCTCAGTGGGGATTCTAGAGACATGTGGCAACTACCTTAAGTCTCTTTGTGCAACAGAACTTCTCTAGTTTGAATACATGCTTAATGTCTACTACCCCAATCTACTTACATCAATTATGCTCTTAATCTCTTTTATATAAATCTCTTCGGTCTCAAGCAAGTCACGTATAATGCGTCTGGATCACAGCAGCAGGTGGGAATATGAAAGAGAAAGAGAGGGAGGGGAGAGAGGTTTTTTTAGAATTCTTAATATTCTCAACAATACAGTTCCCTTTAGTGACTTACCTATTCAGATTGCAGTACTTCATTCTATTCTATTGGACACCCAAGGATACCCAAGGACAGCATCTCACAAAACCACACTCTAATCACACTGGCATAAGAAGAAAAAACAAGGCTAGAGGACTGTAAATCCACTTTTATAGCCAATGAATGACCTGTCTTCTGGTGAGCCATCATGTGGGGGTCAAGAAGGCAGAGATTGTGGAGTCAGAAATGCCAGGTTTGGATCCTTGGTCAGGAAAGCCTACCTGACCTCTACACTGTATGTGTGATTTCCAAGATTTTCTCTGTAGCTTTCTGCTGTTTCATTGCTCAGATCAAGGTCTTTGACCCACATGGGTGGACTTTGTTGTGCATGGGGTTAGATGGATTCCAGTTATGCTCTCTTTCTCTGGCATCTAATGTTTCAGTAGCATTGGTTTCCTCAGCCAACAGACATGACCTCTGTCTGCTTCCCTTGAGGAAAGCAGGTGGGGGTTGTGGTGGGCAGAATGCTCATCCCAGTTTCCTGACTCTGTGTGTACACACACCTCCTCCCAGTTAATTAACTGAACACTAATTTAGGTGCTGCTGTCAAGGGACTTTGCCATTCTGTTTTGTTCCAAATCAGTTAACCTTGAGATAGGTAGATTACCTGGCTGGGCTTTTCTAGTCTCATGAACTCATCAGATCTGGGTCTGGAAGTCAGAAAGACTAGAAGAATGAGAAAGATATAACACAAGGGAGGCTGTCCTTGGCTGGCTTTGGAGATGGAAGAGGCCATGTGGTAAGGAACATAGGCGGCCTCTAGGAGCTGAGAGTGGCCCCTAGTTAATAACCAGTGAGGAAACTGGGACTGGGGTCCCTCAGTTACAAGAAACTGAATTCTGCCACAACCACATCAACTTAGAAGAGGAAACTGTGCACAGCTGACTAACTGCTTTAGCTCTGTGGGACCTGAGCAAAAAGCCAGTCATGCTGTGCCTGACCTCTTGGCCCCGGAAACTGTGAGCTGCTAAGTTTGTGGTCATTTTTTACGCAGCAATAGAAAACTAATAGAAGACTGAGGCCAGTCCCCACATCTATCTCCAGAGAGACTGTTCTCTTTCTCTTCTCAGACGCTTTCTTTTTTCGGTTTTCTTTCAGGCCTCCAAGTGAGTTAGTGTTTGTACAGGTGATCATGTGTACCATATATACATTTGATCATGTGATCATGTGTAGAATATATACATTTACGGTTTCCTGTGAACTGTTGGTAGGTTAATCTATTAAAAGGTAGCCTATCGGGGAGCCTGGGTGGCTCAGTCGGTTAAGCGTCCGACTTCAGCTCAGGTCACGATCTCACGGTCCGTGAGTTCGAGCCCTGCGTCGGGCTCTGGGCTGATGGTTCAGAGCCTGGAGCCTGCTTCCAATTCTGTGTCTCCCTCTCTCTCTGCCCCTCCCCCATTCATGCTCTGTCTCTCTCTGTCTCAAAAATAAAAACGTTAAAAAAAAAAAATAAAAAAAAATAAAAGGTAGCCTATCCCAGTAATATCTCTGACATTAGCCATAGCAACATTTTTCTAAATGTGTCTCCTGAGGCAAGGAAAATAAAAGCAAAAATAAACCACTGGGACTATATCAAAATAAAAACCTTCTGCATAGCAAAGAAAACAATCAACAGAACTAAAAGGCAACCTACTGAATGGGAGAAGATATTTGCAAATGACATATCCTACAAAGGGTTAGTATCTAAAATACATAAAGAACGTATACAACTCAACACAAAAAACACAAATAATCCAATTAAAAATGGGCAGAAGACATGAACAAACATTCCTCCAAAGAAGGCATACAGATGGAAAACAGACACATGGAAAGATGCTCAACATCACTCATCGATAATCAGAGAAATACAAATCAAAAGTACAATAAGGTTATCACCTCACACCTGCCAGAATGGCTAAAATAAAAAAGACAAGAAACAAGTGTTGGTGAAGATGTGAAGAAAAAGGAGCCCTTGTGCACTGTTGATAGAAATGCAAACTAGTGCAGCCACTGTGAAAACCAGTGTGGAGTTTCCTCAAAAAATTAAAAATAGAACTACCATGTGATCCAGTAATCCCACTACTGGGTATTTACCTAAAGAATATGAAAACACTAATTCAAAAATATATGCACCCCTATGTTATAGCAGCATTATTTACAATAACCAAATTATGGAAGCATCCCAAGCGTCCATTGATAGATGGATATATACACAATGGAATATTACTCAGCCACAACAAAGAATGAAATCTTGCCATTTGCAACAACGTGGATGGATCTAGAGTTATAATGCTAAGTGAAACAAGTCAGTCAGAGAAAGACAAATGCCATATGATCTCACTCATATGTAGAATTTAAGAAACAAAACAAATGAACAAAGAGAAAAAAAAGACAAACCAAAAAACAGACTCTTAACTATAGAGAATAAACTGATGCTTACCAGAGGGGAGGTTTTGGGGGAAATAGGTGGACTAGATGAAGAGTACACTTATCATGATGAGAACTGAGTAATGTGTAGAATTGTCAAATCACTGTATTATACATATGAAACTATTATAACACTGTATGTCAACTACTCTGGAATTAAAATATAAATAAATAAACAAACAAATAAATAAATAAACAAATAAAGCTGAACCCAAAAAACCCACAATAAATTAGAAAAATAAATAAATAAATGGTAGTCTATCCTAGTAAAGGGCTTCTTTTTCTCTCATATAATGGATGTGGTGAGGGACAAATAATCAAAGGACACACAATTTACACAAATATCAAAATGACTATTAGTCTTATAAAAAAATGTTCAATGCACACTAATCCAACAAAGGCATAGTAAAAAGAAATAACAATTTTCAACTACTAGAACAGTAGAAATTTCAAATCTCAAAGGGAGACTGATAGATAAGAATGTGGAAACACTCTCAGAGAATATTGACAGAAGTGCAACTGTGTGCAAGATGACCTGGAAATATCTCATCAAAATTTAAAACACGTGCTCCTTGATTCAGTAATTTCATTCCTACTAATGTCCATTATTTGTAATTATTGGCACTTCCACAACAACCAGATATAAATTGGAAATTATTTATATGTTCATCAGTAAATTATGGTACAGATATATAATGAAATGGCATGCAGTTTTAAAAAAAGAATGAAGCTGACTGAGTCATGCTGGTATGACACAGTCCTGGTATATTAAGTGAACTTAAAAAAACATAAGATGAAGAACAATATACATGGTATTACTATGTAAAAGTGAGTACGTATACATACATATATATATGTATATATAATTGTACATGCTTAGAAAATTCATGCAAAGAGGGGCGCCTGGGTAGCTCAGTCAGTTAAGCATCTGAGTCTTGGTTTTGGCTCAGGTGATGATCTTAAGCTGAAAGCACGGAGCCTGCCTGGGATTCTCTCTCTCCCTCTCTCTCTGCCTCTTCTCCGCTCTCTCTGTCTCTCAAAATAAATAAACTTTAAAAAAGAAGAAAATTCATGCAAAGAAACTTAAGACATTGTTAATAGTGATTGCTTTTGGAGAGTTGTACTGAAGCCTAGAAAACAGGGAAGGAATTTTTTTTACCTTTTACTCTACACCCCCCTACAAACTTTAATTAAAAATTTTTTTTACCATTTTATAATTTAAAAATAGTTTACATGACATTTTAAAATGAATGTTACTGGAGGTTATGACATATAAACTCCAGTAGAGAGATATAAATAAACCTATAATTTACATGTTTTATAGCTCAACAATGATCTCTTCTTAAAATGACAACTTTTTGTATCTATTTATAAATGCTTATTATATGACAAGGCTGAAAAAGGATAGTCACTGACAGAGGACACAATTTCAAGAAGTATACAGACTTTAAGATCACACTTAGGTAACAAAGTCACTAAGAGGTTCTTTTGCTTTTTACAGTCATCCTAAAATGACAGCAGATGCTATGTCAGAAGGAAATACAGGTCTCAATACCAATCTATTCCATGAGCCATGACATTAAGTAGGACCACAACAACCGTTCACAGAAACCAGAGTACAGCCAGTCTCTTAAGCCCTTATGAAGCACTGTGCTTAAACAACTTGGCAGGTCTGTTTAAGGACGTATTGACAATTAAATGAAGTCAGAAGGCAGATAACACTAGGTGGAGGGCAGAAATCAATTTTAATCACCCAACAGTTCCATAAGAACTCAGAGACTCTTAGGAGTTTTGGGGAACCTGACACAAGAAAATATTCACAACTCAGAAGAAAAAAAATCGCTTATCAGGTCATGTCCCAGTTTATAGTTTGGAAACAGTCTAGAGATCTCATCCAGTAGCTTCATTTTACTTGTTGGAGTGCAATGGATAAAACCAGAGTGATAGGAAGTCCCCTGAACACCATAAGCCCAGATTTCAGTCAGATCTTGTTTTAAATAGCCTTCAACATCACTGTTAAGCCATTCTTTTTTTCTCTCCTTTGTTTTTTTTAATAACTTTCTAAAATGGGAGAAAATTTATGATTCTTGTTGATGATTGCCTGCTTTATTATTCCAAAGCACATAACTTTGTAGAAAAGACTCTCAAGGATTTAACATCTCAAGTCATCAAGTATATATAATGTAGATGAAGAACAGAAAACATTGAAGGTACTCAAGTAATAAAAAACCTTTAAACACCTAGAGCAATTTATGTCCTGATGGATATCTATCCAGGGATGGAGCACTGTAATTAGGGCACCAAATGGAGTTGAGCATGCCGGATCAGCTTGCAGTAATGTAATCTATACTAGTGTATATTCTGGCACTTTGTTTCACATTTAAAAGTGGATCTCCCTCCATCCCTGACCTCTATGTCATTAAGGAAGAAAAGGAGGGATAATGTGTTTTAAGGGACTGTT